TTTTACTCAAATGTCCACCTTAAAAAAAAACACCCAACAACAACAACAAAAAACAACAACAAAAACGAATAAGTAATTTGAAACTGACAGAAATACTTCAGAAGGATGGTTTAGAAATTAAAGGTTGGGAGTTTCAGTTTTATTGTCATACTTCAAAATCTGAATACCAATGTACTCATAGGAATAATTACAAATAAATTTTTAAAATTATTTTAGAATACTGAAATCAAATGTTTTGGTTTCAAAAACGGATGTTTTCCAAAAGTAATTCAACATCCTAACTATTAGTTGCTATTCATAGAAAATATTTTCCAAAATTTCAGTAATGTTGATGGAAAAAAATCCTCAACTTTCTGCCCAAACTTAATACAAAATGTTTAACCAACAAACTTTACATACATGGCAGAAGATAAGATGAAGGACACCCCTCATCCAAGAACTGGAGATCTCCAGACAGTTTGCTAGACAGATTTTCCCATCAGTACCTAACACTTCCTGTTACAGTTCTTTGTGAACTGCCTACCAGAGGAGATGAACTGGAGCTGCCTGGTCTCTCCCGAATCTTCCTAGGTCTAGGGCAGAGTTGTTTATCCTATTTTACACCAGCTAGGACACACATGTGGCAGCTGGGAATTTTGTAATTCTTTTCATATAACTTCTATTGTCTCTGACATGATTCATACACTCGGGCTACAGGGAAAATACAGAAATTATGTCTAATATATTATATTCAGCTACGAGAGTTTCAAAAAAATCAGCTCCTTCTGCAGTTGGAGAGCAGAGGAAAGGGAGCAGAAAAGTGTGACTAACTGTTCTTGAATATACAAGAGATGTGAACCAGAAAAGGAGCTGTGTTACTGTGGCTGGGGAGTTCATAGATCTGTGATTCACAGCATTACAGTGCCCATTTGGTATGCAAAAAGAGAGGATGATGAAAGGAATAGCTAGTCATGGAGAAAAAGCTAGACAGAACATACAAAGATGCTAACCCCTGGGAAAGGAGCACATTCAAGTGTGATCCACAGCCTGGGAAAGAGAATATGGTCGTTTTTTTCTTTATTTTCCTAAAAATACCTTCTTACTTTGGTAGGTAGAGCACTCAAAGGAGTGTTCTATACCTCAGCCTTGAAAGAGCACCATGAACTCCCATGCACTGCTCAAGCCTACCTCAACCCAAGTGGATGGTACACTACTCTTCAAGCTTTTGCTAAAACCAGACAGCCATATTCTCTCATGACCGTACTTTTTTTCTCGTCTCAATTTAGAAAGTATTATTAAAGGCAGGCAGAATAGGGAAGAAGGCCATGCTAGCTGTGCTGCTGGAGCACACCAGTGTACTTACTACCCTCTGCACGGAATTGCTGAAATCACCACTGTGGAAATGCTTGCAGATAGGTTGTGTTTCTCTTAAACTTTCACCTCCCTGAAAAGAGTCGTGTTCAAAGTAGGGATGAAGGGGAATGATTTGCCTTAGGGATCCCCTTGTCGACTCATGTGATTGCTGGAAATTGTTGAAAATGGTCTGGATCTAAAAGACCACAAAGGCGTTTGATGTTCTTCATATATATCCTTCAGCAAAAGAACTGGGAGAACAGTCAGTGCTCTTGTGCGTGTGCGTTTGCATTTTCAATAACACACATGAAACAAGCTGTGCCCTGCCTGTTTGGAACAAGCTCTATCCTGCCTTGATGTACCCATGCCATGTCTCTTCCACTGGTGTGTGTGAAGAGGAGGGCAGGAAGGGAGAGAAATGGCATTCATAGGGAAGAGATAGAAGAAGGGCTGGGGGAAGAGATGAGAGGAAGATAAATGGAGAGGAGGAGATAAATTGGTGGGTAGAAATAAGACAGCCTCCTCAAAGAAAAAAAAAGAAAAAAAGAAATAGGGAGGGAAAAGGCAATTTAAACGAAAAAAGTTCAAAAGACACAGATGAAGAAGCAGACAAGCATGAAGAAAGAGACAACGAAGGAAGGAAAATAATGCAAAATGCAAAAGGACAAAATTAAATTAACCCACTGAAAAGAGCTAACCAGAGCAACATGGGATAAATCAGTTTGGTAAAACGGCAGGAAACAAACTAAAGAGGAAACATGGAGGACAGTAACACCAGTTTCATATAACACTGTTCGTGGGACAGGCCTTCCAACAATTATTTGTTATGCAGTTGCCCTGTGGTCTCTGATATGGATGATGTCTGGTTTCAGATCAGATATCTCAGCAGCAAGTGCAAGCAATGAGGAGAAATGGCCACAAATGTGACTTCCAGCCCAGAGTCTGCTGGGTGGGAGAAGGATTCCACAGAAAAGTCTGTGGTAAAGCAGAGAACTGAACCTCAGTTTACTGTCTCCTTTAAGTCAAGACAAGTCTTCTGCCCTTTCTTCTCTGCCATACTTGATGGATAGAATCCCTGCTCCAGTACTGTCTCTCACCTCTAGTCAGGACACTAGCCCAACTAGCATCTAGGAATAATGGGACAAGAGGATGGTAAACAATTCAGCCTGCTGCCAACAGCAATTTCCCCAGCACAGAGTACATTCCCCTTTTTCCAATAATGACTCCAGATGGTTTTTGCTGCTTTCCTGCTAGGTTAGGACTACCAGCCAACCTGGGAACATACACCCAAGTTGTAAAATGAATTATGGCCAGCTGGCACAACTCCAAATAAAGAAGAAAAAAAAAAAAAAAAAAAAAAGAGTAGAAAAATTTTAGAATGATTTCCCATTCACATAAGCAGTAAAAATGAGATATGGCATCACCAGGAAACTGTTCACCATGGGTGTCTTTACCACATCCATTAAATCTCATGAATGTTGCTCTGAACCACAAGGCATCTCCAGGGCCCTCGGAGGAGTCAATGCTTGGCTATGATACTCCCCAGCAGTTCTCCTGCTAAACCCCTGCTCACACTGTATGGACACACTCAAACATGCAAGTGATCTCACTGGTTTTTGCAGCGCTGTTTATGGTGATGTCAAACTATTTGTCTGAGTGGGGGCTTGTTGGCAGTTAGGCTGAAAAAAAAATACCCAGGAGCATCATTTTACACCTCAACCGAGGAAAGGTTTAGGCCTGAATTTACAGCCCATTCTGGGTTTCACCAGTGCGCATATGTGCAGGCACAGTGCTACCTCTGAATGATTCAGAGCATCTGTGTGGGAATGAGCAGGCAAAATCAGTCAAGAGTCTGTCATCCTTTATGGCCCTTCTTACATCAATAATGTTGAAAGGTAAAGGACAAAAATGCTGCAGGTAAATCTCACTAGTATATTATTATTCTTTATGTCAGACTGGTCATGTTCTTGCTCAACCATAACTTTCCAAACCAAAACATATCTGGTTCCTTTAAAATATGAGTTAATAATGACAAATCAAAGATAGGGATGATCCTAAATTAAAGGGGCACAGTACAAGGCCTAGCTATAATAAAGGAAACTACTGTTATCTAGAGACACCGAACAGTCACATTTAATTCTGCATTCCACACTTTAGCCCAAGAAATACTAATCCCCTTAGCCCCCTTGCATGGTGCCACCCAGCACATGGCCATCAGAAACAATGACTACATACATCAAGTGAAGAGTAAGGGTAATTTCCTGTGGTTGTTTTACAAGCAAGAGATTAAATTGTGACTACCCTGAAGAGGTTTAAACAATGGCTTGTAATAAAACTGATGCCAGAATATGTAATCAGAAGTTTGACATGCCTAATGCAGCATTCATATGTAAAATGTCTGCAGTGGAAACAGCCCAGCCCTGTAATTTCAGTCTTTGTTCGGATATGAAACCTTGGGCCAGGTTTGATGAAACCTCTGATCATCTGCTGAAGTCCCTGTCAAAGGATGGAGACAGATTTTCATGGAAATGACACAGAAGTCAGACTGGCTCCATGCAGACAGGCAGAAGCTCTCTGGAGCCCACGAGAAGGCAGGCTCTGCTTGAGCCTGTTAGTAAGCACGTAATTGCCATGCATGACTGCATGGGGAAATTTTGAAATTTATCTGTTATCCTGCCTGTTTCTCTGCTAACTAAATCACTCCACGTGGTTCCTGTACGACATCAGAGACATTTACCACATCATTTGATGACTTCCTAACGTTAGAAATATCCCACAGACATTCATCCACAGTTTTCCTAAACGAAAGCAGGAGGTCAGAAGTCATCCATGCATTTAAGCCCATTTTACTGGATTAAAAACCCAGGGTGGCCACAGCCTGGGTCTCTTGGGGAAGCACAGGGGGTGACACCGACACGAGCCAGGGTCCAGCGTTGGCCAGGGTGATGCGTGACAGGGCAGGGACCGCAGGGCTCGGACGGGGACAGGCAGGATGACACAGTGCGGGTGGGGGAAGCTGGAGAAGGGCCGTGCGGGGAGCCGCGGGCGGAGACGGGGATGTCAGGAGCAGAGCAGGACGAGGCGGAGGCCGAGGCCGAGGGAGCTGGCGGGCGGGAAGGAGCGGCAGAGGGCCGGCACCGCGGCTGTGCGCCAGGCAGCTGGGCGGGAAGGCAGCTGCCCCCGGAGCCCAGTCAGCATCCCTGCTCGCCGGCAGGCAGCGAGCAGCCACAGGCGGCTGTCTGAGCTCATCTGTGGGCTCTGTGCACGCATCCTCTCGGGGACGAGGTCTATTAGCATCCATCCAAGCCGTGTCAAAACATCCCGCTTACGGAGCGTCTCTCCCTGATTAGGTAGTGGCGAGTCCAGGCGCCTCGTGGACCACAGGCATCACGGCAGAATAAGCATCAGAAAGCAAACTGAGGTTTTAGATATTCCAGAATAAAATACGCCGTTCAGAATTTATAAATTATTTGTACCTTTGGCTCAAGGCTGCAAGCTTTGATCAAATGTTAAATATAATAAGCAAGTGCTTGAGAAGCACCATAAATTGTATTTAAAAAAAAAAAAAAAGGCAACAAAACCCCATCTCATAGTCAGTAACGATTTTCTTGTATTTTAATCTGCACAGGATTACTACAGACCAGTGAATACCAAAAAGGGATCGGTACCTGCTTTGTAAGTCGTTTAGGTGCAATTTGCCTACATAATGGGTGGCTGATGAGACAGTGATGATCCTAGCGTTGTGACTGTGCGTTCCTGATTGCTTCAGCGTATCCAAGAGGAGGTTAGTCAACAGGAAGTGTCCCAAGTAGTTCAAGCCGAAGTGCTCCTCAAACCCATCCTCCGTCTTCCTTTCAGGGACCAGCATCACCCCAGCTGAAGGAAAAAGTAGAGGTAAAACCTGTTGATTTATTTCAGAGGAGCAGCAAGCTAGAAGGAGTACAGATCTCCTGCTGCAGAGGGTAAACACAGCATTCAGAGCAGTGAGTGACTGGTGACGGCATGTAAAGTTGACACTGATTGACTCCTGACAAGAAAAATGTCTAAACCTCACTTTGGTTTCTTTATCCAGATAGTGCTGATTGACTCTCTCTCTCCCTCCCTGCAGGACTGTGAGTCCATTTGTGAAAAGTGTTTTCAAGACGTGGGAGCTGGGCTATCCCAACAACACTCCCTCCATCAAAGCTCTGAGCAGTGGAGGGAGACAAGACCAGGTTAAGCAGCAGACCTGCTATCCCAGACAGCTTTCTCCTGGGTCCTGGCTGGAGTTGAAAGCTCTGGTGAGTCTACATCTGAAATCCGCAACTTCTCTCTCACTGGTGTGGGTGAGAACAGATGTAGTAAACTTACCCAATATATCTTAATTACCATGCTTACAAGCAGCTGCATATTGAAATTAGGTTTTCAATGCTTATTTTGGCAATATTTTTGCATAAATTTCCAAAAACCACAATTTTCAAACTCAGTGTCTAAAATAAGTATCCACATCTCCATCATGCAATGTTGATTTCAGCATCTTGCAGAGAATTCTGAGCTCATGCATAAATTATATCATGTATTGAGGCTGTGTGAGGAATAGTTACACTGCTCAGTTATAGCACTAACTTGAATGCTATAATTTTTTCTTATTTTATTAAAATTTAATTACTTACAAGTGGACATCACCTTTGTCATTTAAATGTAGATGGACATAACTCATGGAGAATCCTTATTGGGTGCTTCTCTCTAACACCCATAAATATGATACAGCAGAAAGGCCCCCTCTGCATACAAGACATGAGAGAGTGTCAGCTTAATCCTCATGCTCCTTCATGTGCCCACTAAAAAGCCTTTAACATCCCATTTCCTGATGTCAGCCTGACCTGATGATCGCACATTACATGACCATTTTAAATTGCACATGCTGTGCATCTACGCTGTTTTGGGGGTTCCTGCCACCTGACAGTTCTGCTTTGTTGCTGCCTCTTGGGCTGAGAGATATTTTTGGGTTCTTTTTTAGTATGGCAAACAGCCATGGGGATTCACCTGTGGCTTCCTGCTGTTTAATGAAGCAACTGGGGAAGCAGTGGGAGGGGAAGAAACTCAAGAACGCCACAGAGAAAACAAAATGTTTGGGTGGAACACAGCATACCTACAAATGGAGAACTTAAGACTGAACATGAGTGATGCTGACTGGTGGCACAGTGAAAGAAACACAACACAAATTACATGATGAAGCTCCACAAAGGCTTTGATTAGCATCTCCCTATGTCATTTACTGCTGTAAACTGTGTATAATCACATCTGTAACAGTGGCTGGGACTGAGAACTGCCATGAAGGTTATGGACAGATGCAAATGAGAGACAAGCCCAGCTGTGATTTTTTTCTTGTTTTCTGGAAAGAAGGAAAGGATGGGAATGGCTTAGGGATGGAACGAACCCCAGGCTCCCAAACTAAGTCTCAGCCTGCTACAGTGCAAGTTTCAGCACAGACAGAGCTCAGCATGAGCTGTTGTAGAGGGCATATGGAAACATTGCTGCATCTCTGAGTACCAGGGCTAGTACAAGGAAATTATTGGCATATCTGTGAAGCCATCCTGCCCTCCAGAGAGCTCTGACACTTGGAAAAGGTGAAAGGCAGCAATTTGTCAGAGTTCTGTTTGCAGCAACACTGGTAAAATACAAGCCCAAGCAAGGCAGCCAATATAAAGGAGCCCCGGCAGCAAGGCTGATCTGCACGCCAAATGCTGCTTCTGCATCTGCTGGGATTGCTGCAGGGCTTGATACAGGACCCCTCCATGCATGGACATGCTTCTGTTGGTTGAGTCAGATGGAGGGATGGAGAAATAGACAGAAGTGTGTTAGACAGCTGCTACAGCTTTGCATCACAAACAGCAGGCAGAGCCAGGGAGGCTGCCATCACCCACATCAGCCCCGAGGATGCCTGTGCCACTGCAACTTCACCCTCGACCTCCAGAGAGACACAGAATTTCAAGAACACATAGAGGCTTTGCCCTCCACCCTAATTAGTCTCCACCATCTGTGCTGTACATCCTGGAAGCAAAAAAAACAGATCTGAGCTCGGGTCAGGAGACAGAAAAAATTTTCATTTATGCAATGCACAACTGCAAAGATACATGCTCCCCAATATTCTTTTGCTCATTCTTCAAGAGCATTCCCTGAGCAGAAATTCTGGTCAAGTCCTTGAGCAGGCACAATCACCTCTGCCTGCATCTGATGCTACTACAGTTCCCTTTCTGTCTTCAAGAGCTGCTCAAATAATGTTAAGCCAAAACACCTTTGAAAGACTTTTTCTGGTTTTTTAAAGGTTCCCATCTTTCAGGTAGTTCATATCAAGGCTGTTAAAAAGAAAATCTTGCCCTGTAGTCTGAGGGCAGTTTCTCTTATTTGAGGAAAAGCCATTTTTAATTTATTAAAGTGAGCATACAAAGGAATACCCAACAGGCAACTGAACCTATCTCCTTCCTTAACAAAAGGGAAAACCTTGTAAGTGTAGCAGCAAGCTCTCTTTCTTAAATTATTAACTACCTAACATTCAGTAGATACTAAAAGTGGCATGCTATTGATTTTCTCTTGTCCAGAAACATCATCAGCTTTACTTAAGGGTCCCAAATGTTAACTCAAAAATGAAAGCTGGTTCTACATTTAATTCTTTGAATTAATCCAATACTACTTGAAACATTAACAAATTCTCTATCTTTTAATTGTAAACTAAGAATGACTGTGCTTTTTCTTCCAATATGAAATCCAAACAACTCAGTATCTTTCTGGTTTTAATTATCAACCTTATAATTTTTTCAGAGTGTATGTGAAATTTGAAGTGGCAGCACACAAACCATTAATGTCAAACACCTCAGTTCTGACATAACCTTCTTATATGTTTTTCCCCTTGATTTAGCTGGATTGTCTCCAGAAGATTCAGTTTTAAAATATCACTGATAACATCATGGCATAAGAAAATGAATTAATAAGTAAACTGAACATAAGCTTCTACTTTGTAATTGATTAGTTGTGGCTGAAATATTCCACCAAAAGACTGATAGTATGGGAACAAAAACTGACTAAACAAAATATGGATTGTGATTTTGCACAGGTAGTAAGAAATTAGAATAAGGAAAATATTTTTCTGCAAAACTATACTGAACAACTGTTCTTACAGATAGCAATACATTCCACTGTGCTGCAGTTCTGAATTTATTGTAATATGTTTGAATTATACACATTTTTAATTAGCTTTAATGAATAACAAAAAATATATTACTTTCTAATTCTATGACTAGGCAATCAGTAATAATATTTCTCACTCAAAAAATGAATACATTTCAAGAGAGCTGTCTTTGTAAGCAGGAATTTATGATGATAAAAGTTTTTCTGATCCATCTTACATAATTTAAAGAATAAAATGGATTTGACACTGCATGCAGCATAACAAAAAATTTTATGATAGTTATAAATATTATAGGCCAGACATACCCCATTTTTATTGAATTATACAGGAGAATTTGCACTATGCCTGCTCGTACTGCAGATGATGACAAATATTGCTTTAACTCCCATACCTCCCACTGCAAAGATGTCCTCCATCTCCATTATAAAATGTGTTTTAAGAGCTGTAAAAATACAAGTATTTCACTTATCTGGATTTATTTACAGTGAGCTACTTGGAGGTTTTTAAAGTCAGTTCTCTCAAACTCACTACAAAAGAAAAATTTACAATCTCTTTTTCACATACAAAACAAAATGCCTGCCTTCCCAGCCAGGCTCACAGAAGAGGCTTTGGAGGCAAATCCCCCTCACGCAAGCTCTTCATCTCCAGACAGCCAAAGGCTGGGCAGATAAAGCAATAGGTCAGCCACAAACACACATAACACCTTCACAGCAGGAGGGGAACCTTTACAATCACATTCACCCAATTCTTGCTATTTACAGGGAAGAGATACATATTGTACCAAAAATGCTCCCAAGGGGAAAAATTAGGAGACAGTTACTTCCAGTGAAAGCACACAGCCCTTCCTCCTTTGCACTCTTAGCTGATGCCTTTAGCAGCATTTCCAACCCCACGAGTGCAGCCACACAGGGTGACCCACCCCCACCTCACAGAATGTCGAAACTGCTCTGCTCTGCACACCCATGCAATGAAACACCTCTGGGTGTATCTACATGTAAAACAGCATGGCACTTCTCACCTGAACAGGAGAACTGTACAGCAGCATGCCCTGGCTAGGCTGCCTGTACCAGATTGCTTGTTCCACCTTGTTCCACGGGGCTGTGCAATCCCAGAGTTTGCCTGCCCTGTGGGTCTCTCCTGGCTAGTGAGCAATGAGAACATGCAATGCCTTACTGTAAGAATTGCCCCCAGAAGGGCAATTTTACTGGAGGCACAGCTGGGCCCACATGACTGCTTCTTACAGGCACTGCTTCTTCCTGCCTCGTCTGGGCTGAAGAGCAGTGAATTTACAGCAAGGCTCTAAAAGCTGTGACATGGCTGCTTACTAAGCCACATCCCTAACCCAGACTCCAGTGCTACAGGTGGGCCACATGCCTATTGGTATCCCAGGAAAGTGTTCTGAGTCTCAACAGGACCACACACAGAAGCCAGAATAACAGAATGAGAACTGAAAAGGTAAAAATCCTAACAAGTTTAGAAGGAAAACACAAAAACACAGATGAAACTTGGTGCAACTTTCCAATGATGTTGTCTTACTCCCTGTGTGCCCAGGGAGAGCTTAGACTCTTGCATTTCCTAATGTCTTTTGGAGCTTTTTAGATGTGTATATGCAATTTTCCAAAGCCAAATGGGAGGAAAATGAAGCAAAGCAAGAACTTTTACCCCATGGCACAACAATGACACCTGGATGACACAGATACCACACCAA